TTGGTCCTGGAAGTGATGGGTTGGTCCCGGAAGTGACAGATTCATCATTTCTGCCCCAGGCCCCGAACTCCCCTAGGGACATCCCTGGTCCTAACATCATTGTAAAAAATTGCTGTGGTTGCCACAGGCATGTTATATGATTAATATTGGAATGGTGCAGTTGTGAACGAAAAAGGGGTAATTAACCAGATAATTCCACTTAAGATGGAGTTTTTCCACAGTATGAACCACTGGAAACGTCACTGGGATATCAGTCAGGCACTTCAACTATAATAGTTAACTGGGTCATCAATTTTCTTCCAGTGATAATCCAGCTTTGTTAATGGTGGCCAGAATTTATTTTCCTGATAGTTTTTTTTTTTTTATTTTTTAATTCTCCAGATGACTTTGAGTCTAAGTTTACTTTCCATTCTGTGGAAGAATTCCCCCCTCCTGATGAATTCAAGCCATTTCAGAGAATTTATCCCAGCAAGGCATCTAGAGGTAAGTGTAGAAAAATCTTGTACAAGCATGACAGGATTAATGCTATTTTTCCAACATTGTTAAAAATGTTGATGTGAATATAAACAAACACTGGGCAACAATTTAGTGTGAAATTATGATTGAGTTGCTAGTATACACTGAAAGTATACCATGATTATTGTATCTTTGGGATTCATTATAACAGTAATGAATCATCATAACAGTAATGAATCATCTTTCATTATAAAGTGTTTATAGAAAAAAACCAAACAGTAACATGGCTGACATGCCACCAGTTTAATTGTATTCATTACATTCTTTAAGCAGGAAGCCGACTTAGCATGGTCTTGACCCAGCCTTAATGTGTTCATAAACTGGTGACGTCAGAAATGAATTGTGGTTTAATACTGAACCTATAATCGCTATATACGAATATAAAAGACAGTTCCAAGTTTTCAAACCTGAGTGCTTAAAGTTGGCATCCTAACTCTATATTTTGGCACCTAAATAAGAATGTCAGATTCTCAGAAGCACCAATACGCTGGGAGATACAGATGCTCAGCCTTTGAAAATCATATCACTGTGTTTTGGGAGCACATCACCCACTCAGCTTTGAAAATAGGCATTTATAAATAGATGAATAAAATCACACACGTTCCTATTCTAACCATACAGGCTACTATTTGTATAGATCCCATGTGTTCTGTATTATGTTAGACAACTCCCTACCCCCCAAATCTTCATCCTCGCACTACTTTTCTTAGACTGTTCCCATAGAATCATAGAATATCAGGGTTGGAAGGGACCTCAGGAGGTCATCTAGTCCAACCCCCTGCTCAAATCAGGACCAATCCCCAACTAAATCATCCCAGTCAGGGCTTTGTCAAGCCTGACCTTAAAAACTCCTAAGGAAGGAGAAGTTTCTATGCAGGGCCATTCTTTGAAGTACTGTAAGCATATACGGAAACAATAGACATCCTGTAATAGATGGTATCCTATGTATCTTACAGATACCCCTAAAAATCCTCCACTAAGAACACATGTGAGATGAGAAGATCCCTCTAACAGACCTCTGGTGCAGTACTACACAGGACGAGTGAAGATAACAAGATAATATATGAAACAGAGGAGGTTTTGTTAAATGAGTAGAGATTATATTTTAACAATCAAATGATGCAGTGTTGGACCTGATTTGATATTTTTAAAACTGGAAAAGAAATACTTTAATTATGCATTCTCTGAACTAGTCTAGTCATCGTTTGGCAATAGAGGAGAGTGCTGGCACAGGCTTTTAAATTATTGTTGGATACTTTACTTCAGGAATTTTTAAAACCAAGCACCATGAGATTTAAATTCTTTAGTAGTGTTCACTATGTAATTCTCATTCAAATCGTCATCAAGAGATATCATCTCAAACAGTATTCCATGCATTAAATACACTCAGATATTTTTCTGTCACCTTTTAAATATTTTTAGTATTCCCCCCGCCCCCACCCCAAGAGCTCTAATTATATTTACAGGAGTTTTCAATTAGCTATCTGAAAATAAGATATTATATATTGTATGGTTATTGGCATGACTCTATAATCTCATTGTAAGTTACTCTGCTGCCTGTTTCCTACCTACCCCCCACACCGCTGCAAAATGACCTCTCCTTCATTACCACCACAGAGGGGTCCATAATTACAGGGATTTATTGGTCAAACATATACATACGCAGGAGAAAGGGGCTGCGGACACCACTGCACACAGTACGCTACTCTATCTCAGGTTTGCTAGTGGGTGTACCCGTCAGAAGGGAATGAGCTAGAACATGACTGACTGGACTGCCTAACAGCATTGCCATGCATTGGCAGATAGGGCAAAGCTTTTCCGAAGTGCTTCTCCTGAGGTCAGAAAGCAAAACTGGGATGAATGCATTTGCCAATAAGTGTTTGTTTAAGGACACAGCTGGACCATCATGTCTCTAAAATGTGAGCCTTTTGTACAGTATAGATTTTCTCTTTAAATATTGCTTATTGCTAGCCAGGAGCCCACCTGCCACTTGTTTGACAGGCTTTCTAGACATTGTCATTCCCTCTCTCTCCTCTGCCCCCACATTACCCCCAACATGCCCCGCTCCAGATAGCTAAAGAAGCTTTTAATAGCTAAATACTAGAAAGAAGACAACTGGTATTGCTCATTCTCACCAATCTCTTTTGAACGGCTCTGGAAACAATTGCCAGAAGTCCTCCTTCATTTACATGCTCCATGCAGCTCTTTTCACCCAAATACTAAATGCGAGCCATGAAGGGCTGCAGTCTGGAACTGCAGATTGATTCGCAAGATACCTCAGTTTGCCATAGGCACCAAAAACTCTCCTCCCCCTTCTGCCAGTTGCCGTGGTGGCTGACAGGGTGGTGAGCTAATGCAGGTTACCTTAATTACCTCACTGGAAATCAGACTTTTCCTGGCAGATGCACCCATAGGTTGGTTTGTCTCTGATTGGCTTAAAGTTATACAATTAAAATGGCCAGGTTAAGGGTGCTTCAATCAGTCTTTTAATTCACGTGTTGTTTCCCTTGGAGACTCTCAATTTCAGGACCCTGGTCCTGATTTTCCACAGAGTGGCCTTAATCTCTTGTTTTTCAGGAGCATGGGGGTGCCTGAAATCATTCCAGAGGTTCTGCACTCTGGCAGGCACCTCCTCATTAATCCTCCTCTTTCCAGGGGAGCAGTGGCTGCTTAGCTGAACAGAACTGATTCTGCAAGCAGCAGCCAGGAGGGGGAGCAGCAGGCTGCAGATCGGAGGAGGAGGAGGGAGGTAGGAAACTCTTCCCGGTTGGCTAGAAAAGGATCAAGATTCTGGTTTCCACTTCTCAGTACAGAGAACCTGGGCCCCTCCCTAGGTTAGCAGAGGTGGTAGTGATTTCCAAGGGAGGAAACTCAAATGTGGAACCAGAGCAGGGCCGGCTCCAGGCACCAGCTTGCCAAGCAGGTGCTTGGGGCGGCCACTCTGGAGAGGGGTGGCACGTCCAGCTATTCGGCGGACGGTCCCTCACTCCCGCTCTGAGTGAAGGACCTCCCGCCGAATTGCCGCCGCAGATCACGATCGCGGCTTTTTTTTTTTTTTCCACTTGGGGCGGCAAAAACCCTGGAGCTGGCCCTGAACCAGAGGGTAGATTTTAGGAGAATGGCTCGATTTGATGGTGGGGGCTGGGGAAAACTGATGGAGTTATGACTATTCAAATATGCGTATGAAATTAAAGCCATATTTGCATAAACTCTGCAGCATCCCAACTTGCAAATATAGCAGGTATGTTAAATCCAGTTTAGGGCTATACTTCTGCCCTTTTGCTGTCTATCTCTGGATAGTGCCTTTCTCTGCACAGTTAGCTAGTAGCCTTGTCACCACCACGTAAATACTAAGGAAGGCAGAAGTGGTCATGCCCTTGCAACTAGCTGGACTTTAAGGACATCAGGTAAATAAGATCCCAGCAACTCTGCTGTGGACAGTTGGGGGCGGGGAAGTTGTTCACGTGGTGCCTGACTGGTCAGCAAAAAGAAGGTAACTGTGTGTGGAATCATTCATGCATTGATAAGTGGGCTGCAGTTACCTACATATGCTTAATATACTACCCCGGTGAAGGGCTTGGGACCAGATTCATCAGTGAACTTTGGCCGTTTGACAGCTACTTTGCATTGCTGGAGCCGCAGATCACAGCAGTGAATCTGGCCCTGAGTCTGATTGGACAGAGGAGGTACAGAGTGAGGTTCTGGAGCCACTGAATTATCTCCTGGAAGAACAGCTTTTCCAGCTGTAGAATGCAGCAGCACCATAGGGCTTCTGAAAAGTAACCCCCCCTGGCTTTTTACTTGCCTGTACTGATCCCTTAATAAATAGTTTGCCTGTGTGTGTGTGTGACATATTGAAAATATAAATGCTGTCACCAGTATTGTAATTACAATAGTTAACTGTGCTTGAGCATATAAAATGTAATAAAGTCAAATTTAGGCAGGCGTCAACATGGGCATTGCATCTTTTCTTACAGAAAGTCTAATCCAAGGCTATTCAGGAATAGTATTCTGCTACAGTATTATAGTCATTGTGCATTAAAAGCAAATGTGGAGTATGACTTCTTGCCTATTCTCATCTGTACTGGAACCTGTAATACCGTGTAACAAATATTTTATAAGGATTTTTAAAAAAATATTTATTAAAATGTCTCCTGGTAGATTAGTTCCTCCTTTGTACTTCAGCTTTTGTGCATTAAATGGAGATGGCAAAGGCCTGGTCTACACTACGGGATTAATTCGGATTTAGCAGCGTTAATCCGAATTAACCCTTCACCTGTCCACACTACAGAGCCAGTTAATTCGAATTAAAGGGCCCTTTAAATCGATTTCTGTACTCCACCTCGACGAACGGAGTAGAGCCTAAATCGATTTTGTTAATTCGAATTAGGGTTAGTGTGGCCGCACACCACCGAATTACTGTGTTTAAATTAATGGGGTAGTGTGGCCGCACACCACCGAATTAATGTGGTTAAAAACCGAATTAAGGTGCTTAGTGTGGCCGCGCACAATCGAATTTATACAACCTGTTTCCCAAATTCGAATTATCTAAATTCGGATTAATCCTGTAGTGTAGACATACCCTTAGTAGTATTCCGCTAAGGTGAGTGAGTGGTGGTACTTCTCCAAACCATGCCTCAGCTTTAAGGGCCTAGATTAGGTGCCTCGGTTCCCTATATAACAAATGTGGAAAGAGAGGCACTTCAGCAAACAGGATTCATAAAAACCAGCACCCCAGGTCAGTGTTTCTCAAATGCGGCCACCGAGGCCAGGGGCTTTTTGTTCAGCCACAACCTCCTAGGCAGGATGGGGAAGGGGAGATGACAAAGCATTGGCTCCTTCCCCACCCTCCCTGTTGCTTCTGGATGCGCTGCCCTGCTCCGCCTCTTGAGAAAGGTGGGGCACAACACTGCAGGAGCAAGGTGAGTTCTTGACCCACCTTGGGAGAAGGGATTTTGGGTGGCAGGCTCCAGTGGCGGGACTTTGGGAGCCTGGCCATGCAGCTCCAGCCACACAGCCCTGGCCTTCAGCTGCAGGGCTTCAGCCCCTCGTTGTGGCAGGTAGTGACCCCCGCCTCCTGTCTTGGGCTCTGGCCATGCAGTGGCAGATGCTGGCCCCAGGCACCGACCCCCAGCTGCACAGCACCGGCTTCTAACCACGGGGCTTTGGGCACCAGCCTCTGGCTCTGGCTGCAGGGCTTCTGCCTTGGGCCCCCAGTTCTGGCCATGCAGGGTGGGCACTGACTCTGGTCCTGGCCTCTGGCCGCACTGGCCCCAGGTACCGGCCCCCAGCCGTGCGGCAGCAGGCTCCAACTGCAGAGCTTCGGGTGCAGACCCTTGGCTCCAGCCGCGCGGTGGCAGGTGCTGACCCTCAGCTCTGGCCGTATGGCCTCGGCGCTGATCTCCTGCCCCAGCCGCATGGCAGCAGGCACCGACCGACCAACTCTGGTCCTGGGCTCTGGCCATGCGGTGGTGGGAGCCGGTGCTGACCCTTGGCCGCTCAGCAGTCAGCGCTGGCTCCAGCTACGCAGTAGCAGGCGTTGACTTCTGGCTCCAGCCATACAATCCTGGGTTCTGGCCGTGCAGCAGTAGGCAGAGGCCCTGGACGCTGACCCACAGCTCTGGCTGTGTAGCAGCGGGCTCTAATCTCTGGCTCTGCCCATGCAGTTCCTGTCCCCAGCTCTGGCCATGGGCACTGAGCCCCAACCCTGGTCACATGCAGCAGACACCAACCCCTGGTTCCAGCCATGCAGCAGCAGGGCTCAACCACTCCCATTGTCCCTGGACCCTGCTGCCTCCCACTTCGATCTCCCCCATTCAGGGCTGGGTCCTGGGGCTTGCATGGATTGGTTAATATCACTTTTCTCAGCAGATTTACTAGCTCTCTGGGAGGCTGTGAAAAGTGATATTAAACATTCAAGTATCACTTTTCACAGCCTCCCAGGTAGCTACTAAGTGTGCTGTGAAAAGTGATATTCACACATCACTTTTCACTGTATTATTTTTGAGTCTTCAGAATACCTATATATATAAATAAATATAGAATTACAATATTTGGGTGTGTATCTATGCCTATTTAATTGTTTTTCCTAAAGTTAATTAAGTTTTTTAGGAAAAAGTGTCAGTGCAGCCACCAGTGCACTCTGAGGCCACCAAAAATTGTTTTGATAACCTGGGCATTAGGTGGTGCCTCACAGAAGCTAGCCAATAGGATATGCCAATCCCCACCCCTCTGCAGTAGGCATCTAAGTCTGGGCTGCAGGGGGAGTGCCCTGCTGTGCTTGGGAATCTCAGCTGCCACCCCCTTTTTTTGGAGTTAGATGCCTATGCCACTTCAGCTAGAAGTGTGGGAGGAGGAGGAGGGAACCTGCCTCTAACTTTTAGGATACTAATGTAGGATATTGGAAAATCCTGGTTGACATCACCTTCCCCCTGAGAGGGAGAAGGCATTTGAACAGGCATCTGCCACGTTTCCAGGGGGATATTCAGGGAGGGGCACCTCTCTCTCCCCTAAGCTGTTCTGCTGTAGATAAAAAATTTTAAAAAGTCACTGGCTTCTAGGTCTCCTGTGTGATTTCTCTAGCAACCACGCTACAGTGAGTCTCATGTTTGCACACACACTCTCATTGGCCCAATGCCTTTTTTTTTTTTAAAGTTATCTGCAGCACCACACCAGCCTATCCCATAATCCAGGGGTTAGTTCCCCCCTCCACCAGAGGTCTCCCAGATCCCAGCTGTACCCTAACTAGTGGGCTAAAAGTTACGAGGGGGGAGTCCTTGCTCCCCCGAGTCGGTTTGTCTAAGCCTGCCTCTAGGGGTCTGAGCTGTTGAGCTTAGTTGGTGCTGTGGCAGTTGAGCAGGCATTTTGTGAATGTCAGGATCCCTAAATCTGGGGTTTAAGTGCTTAAATCCTTTTGTGAATCTAGCCTTAACTATTTAAAATTCCTCAGTACCCAAAACTTCATCCTACTACATTTTTATACAATGCATGGTGCTGGCTGACTGTCCCATGCTTCAGATGTGTAAAGAAAGTGGCTGTTGACTATCAGAGGCTGAGGTAGCAGGCAACTTTGACCTCCATGTACTGAACAATACCGTGCTGCATTACATTGTTGTGCTGGTGTACATACATGAATGTGCCCATAGAAATTTAAAAATATGGAAGATGATACAAACACCTAGGGGTTCCCCCCACCCCCCAACAAAACCAAATTCTTTTCACTACTCCTACAGTTTGGTGGTTCAGCATCCATGACTGAATCCTTGATGCTTCTGCCCAGTCAGTAAGGCACTGACTCACTCAACTAACACTCTAAGTCAGTAACTGAAGAGGGTATTGCTTTCTCCAGTATTATGGAAAAGTGCATGCAGTGATTGTATACACAAGAGAGGATCTCAACCTCAGCCCGTATTTTTTTTTAAATGCACTATAGGCAATGGCCAGAGAACACCTGGCTCAAAGGGACTTTGCAGGGTGAAATTTTTTGTACAAAATACTTAGTACCTGGCTCATGGTGTTGAAATGAATTAATTTATTAATTTTTCCAAACAGCAGTTCCCCACAGATGCATAATTCCCACAGGATGATTGCAAACCTATACATATTAGTTCCCACAAGAAATTTAGCCAAACAAGCTTTGCAGTGTCTTGATTCAGTCCGACAGCATACATCTTGACACACACCCAGACAGGCAACAGGGCTGTGTGAAAATAGCTGCATGAGATGGTGGGCACTAGCTGCAGAGAACAATACAAAACAGTGCACTCTATTTAAGGTGGACATCTTTATTCCCTGCCCCCTTTGGCTCAACATAGCCAAGCCAGAATTCAGAGTGAATGTGAAACAATGCCTCTGTGCCACCCACTCCACTGGCTTTGAAGTTTAGTATCTTTATCCTGCAAGCATTAAACACATCTTTAGAATTTAGCAAGTCAGCATAGGTATTTTAATTTACAA